GCAGTGCTGAACTCAAAGCTCCTGCACAGTTTCAGCTTGGAGCTCCAGGTCCTTCCTCAGCACCAAACTCGAGGGCAGAGCTCCACAAAGGACACTTGAGCAGCTGTGGGGATGATCAGGCACACAGGGAGGGGTTCCTGAGCTCTGCAATACTTGCCATGAATGATCAGCCCCTGGTCCCTGTTCTGGCAGTACAGACGGAATGCTTCCTCCAGCTCCATCTGAGAGGAGATGGTACAGGGGTCACCTAACAAAAAAAGCAACACACAGGTAAATTTACCACCAAAAAATTTCAATTAGTAAAAAAAAAAAAAAAAAAGGTATCAGCTTCAGGTATTGCCTTGCTTTCAATCACTTGATATTAAGCTGGCACTTTGATCAAAGCCAAAATGGAACAACACAATTATTCCTTCCAACTTGATCAAAATTGAGTAGACTGAACTATCCTATAGGATAACAAGAGAATAAAAGTGAACACATATGCCTAAAGATCCCCTCACCATTTTCTTGATGTCTGCTTGTGGTCACATTATCAGCATTACCTTGGGAGGGTTATTTTTGTTAAAACTGGATAATTAATCCATAAATCCACTTAAGCAGACACACAAAGTACAGTACGTCACAATGCACTGAGGCAGCCCAGAGCAAGGGTGTCACTGAACCCCTGTCCCTGTGTGTGTCCCTTCCTGCAGCACACCCTGCCTGACACGTGGCCTTATGATATCCAGGCTAAGTGATGGCACCAGTGTCAAGCAACATTTAAACTTTAATTTCTTATTTTTAAAAAATGTTCTTATTTTGTAAAATTATGAATCCAGGGGCCAGCTACCTCTCCTTGTAGGCTACTGCTGTTGATGATCTATAAATGCAGCAATAATGCAACATGAAAGACAAAATAATTATTTGTACTGCAAATCAACAATCCATATTCCTTGCATGTTTACAGGATTTTATCATGAGTGAGTTATTCATAGTTCAAACCTTTTGGATCTTGTCAAAAACAAAGAAACACTATAAAAGCCCAACAGAAAATCTATTTTCTTCATCTCTTGGTAGGTTTTGTTTATTCATTAAGCCATGGGCAATTGTTTGCTTTTAGTTAGTTCAAAGAGAACATCTGTTTGTGCAATCAGTCAAATGAACTTAAATTCCATGTGGCAATAAGTGGAAACACTTGCATGCAGAAATAGGATAACTCAGAAAACCCAGGAGGATCAGTAACAGCCAACACAGCAGATTGACTGGAACTCAACCACTCAGACCCAGGAATCACAGAAAGGTTGTGCAGGTATTTAACCAAGACTAGAGGAAAATACTTACTAGAACAGAGACTAAATAAATTCTTTTTAATTTAAGTAAATTCAATAAGCCAATGCAACAGAGAGCCCAACCAAGAAACACTTAACAGGACTCTTGTCTTAGAATCCTCCAACTCCAATCTCAGGGGGTTTTCTTCTTCCCTGCAATAATCTCCCTTTATTAGCAGGCATGCAGTTCAACCAGCTAAGCACAGGCAATGTAATTATCTTCCATGTCCTTCTCATCAGGTTACTTCTTATTACACCACCATTAAACTGAGGGTGGTACAGGTGCCTCTCTCCTTCTTGGTATTCAAAATACAAAGAGTAAAATTTAGGAGTATTAATACTTGTCCTTGGTATCTTAAAAAGGGCTGAGTTGTCTTGGACTACCAGCTACCTCCTTCCAAGGTCAGTACTTTGAAATTTCATTTACTCAAACAACACTATCAGCTAAGAGAGCTATTTAAAAAACCAAAACACACCATTAAAACTATTAGCCAAACCAGTCTGGACTTTTTCCACCTTTCTGTATTCAGTTCTAGTTCTGCAGGCCCTGACTTTGACAAGGTGCTTCTGTAGAAGTGAATTCAGGCACTACTGCAATCAACCCTGATGTCTTAAGTTTCATTTCTCTGAGCTTCCTGCTCTGGGACAGGGCTCTGTAGTTGGGTATTTAGAAACAAAAAACCTTCACAGCATGATATTTGTTTCTACAAGCTCCTCAATGCCCCTTCTCTGTGAACAACAAACCCTGAAGTATTTCAGTCCAGTACCTTCATCATCAATCCACTTGAGGGTAATGGGCTGCTCCTGCTGCAAGTTGCACATCTCGTGCACTTCATCACAGAGCTCAGCATAGCTCATGGATGCATCCAGGTTTGTTATCAGGATGTCCCTGCAGAAGATGAAAACATCAGCTCTTATCAGCAAATAGCTGCACATTCCAACAGTTCCACCTCTGGACAGCAAGCTGCAGAATCCCACAGAATGAGCATTCCTCATATAAAACACTCCCACTGTGCCACAGGATTACACCTCCCAGTGCTTAACTTAAAAATCCTTCAGTGTGGAGGAAATAAATGTGTTAATTACCAGTCTTTAATGCATGTTTACTCGGGTGAGCCAAGCTCCCTTATTATAATTATCAGTGCTTGAAGTGTTGTTAAAAAACAAACCAGAAGCTTTCATAATAATTTCTTTTTTTTTAATCCAGGTGCTTCTTCCATCAGGAGATAAATAAAATCTCAATTATTGTAAAATCCTTTAAAACAGAGGCTTTACCTCACATCCACTATATTGTTTGGGATGAAGCTTTGATTAGGTGAATTCTCAGAAGATGTAATTACAGGAAAATTCAGGTAAAATCTTACTCAAATTCTGCATATTGCACTCCACCTTTGTAGTGTTTAGAGAGCATGAACCCAGTACTGAACTCTCTATGTAAACTATACATTATCTCAGGAATTTGTGACAATAACTTTTGATACAATAGAAGTGCACAAGTCCTGTCAAAGCAGGTCAAATACTGAAAAAGGAAAAAAGATTAAGCAAAACAAAATTTGATTATTTTGAAACAAGAGTTTCTACCACTTTTAAAATATTTTTCAAATAAATGACTCAGGAAAATCAATTAATAAACAAGTGCAAAAAGAAACAGGAGATGAACATAAATCATTCCATAGCCTTCAAAACTTTCCAGAGGACAGTTAGGAAACTGTTTTGTAGTTGATGGCTACTGGCATGTGTAATTCTTTCCCCTCTTAGTGTAATCCAGCAAATACATCAGAAGTTGTCCAACATGACTGAGATGATTTTCCTGTTTCCATACTATGTGACAAGACATTTTAGAAAAAATGCTATACAACATTTTCTGCCAACTTTCAGCAGCAGTTGAACAGTACTACACTGAAATAAGAAACTTAAACGCCACAACTTACATTTTAAATGATATGCATTAATAACTTGCCATTTTGCCTTTGCTGAGAAAAATTCCTATAAGCAAAACTGTAAAACAATCATCTTAAAGAACTGGACTGTTTCAAATTCAGATGAAAGCACTGCTACCTTTTCAAGTGTATCTTTAATCTATACTTTGTAGCACTCTCAAAGAGCAGCAACTTAATCATTCTTCATAACAGCAGCAGCAAAAGAAATACATATGCTGCCTGCCAACCTGTACATCCATATCACCCACAACACTGAGAGCCGTCAGGTGAGGCTGAGTTTAAGAACATTTCCCTGTCAAAGAAATCATGTTTTATGCATTTATGGAAGTAAGAGACCAAACTGGTTCTCACAGCAATGTTTGAGGGCTGGTACAATGCCTTGCCCCAAGACAAGGGCACCAACAGATGCATTTATTTAATGCTCATTATTGAAAAGCTCATTATTTAATGCACTGCCACTGTGAGCTACTCATGACACCAGGCAGGTGTGGATCTGTGGTAACCCTGGACAATCACACCTGCACAAGTATCTAAATAAAATTCAAAAACTGGAAATACACTGTAAGTCAACACTACTACACACACTATAAACTCCAAATAAAACTGGCAACTACTAATCAGCCTTGAATTGTTAAAATTATTATAACAGATGTCATTTTACAAGTAAATTAATAAACTTCATATCCACGATGTCCATGTTCCTTTGAGATTTACTGTATTTTATCTTATCTTAACATCCCTACAGCCACATCAGGCAATCAAGGCACAGGGAAGTAAAAACCATTCCTTGTTTAACACTAAACAATCCCATGGGATACTTTAAAAAAAAATATTTGAAACTGGACACTACGCAGCAATATGAAAAGGTAATGATCAGTAAGTTGTGAATGAAGTTACAGGAAGGGAAATAATTCCAGTGACAATCAAACTTGTCATCTCTCAGAGCCAAGATAACCCAGCAAAGCAGACTGCACCACTGCTCTGTTCAGTGATTTCAAGCAACCAGGTAAAAACTAGAGGCAAGTTGTGTAATTCTTGTTCATTATTGCAGTTACTTAGTTTTTCTTTTGTAATCTACTCTGGCAGTGATTTCCACCGTGCTATGTTAGGAACTCTGTCACACCCAGAAACAGGAATACCTGAGATACTCAGCCTCCAGAGCTACACTCAACACTCACATGTTCCAAACTTCCTCATGCTCACGTTTCTAACAGGCATATTGTACTAGCATTTTATTTTAGCAGTTAGTCCCTGATTCTGAAGTTGCCCAGCATCAATGATTTCCTGCAGTTTGTCAAACTTGTTCAAAATCTGAGTGCAGAACTGCAGTGGAGATACTGAGATATCAGTTATAGAGGCTACAATGATCACTTATAGAGGCTGTAATGCCAAAAAGAATCAGTTTTACCTCACACTATTTGATCAGCAGAACAAAAACAAAATTCACAGAGCCTGGAATTCTTGTTTGTAAACTGACTTCTACAGACTTCACAGCTCATGCAAAAGACTGAATGTAGTGTTGCAGGAAAAACTACACAGTTTATTGTAAAACATGGTAATAACAATGACTTGACTTCTAACATTGAGACAATTATTATCACCTCCCCCAGCTGTGCACAGACAAGTTCCACAGACACACTGCTTCCACTTTATATCAGCATTACCTGCCAGCAAACATCCCCAAATTATTTACACCCAGTTCTACTGGTGCTTGGAGTGCCTTCCCCACAGAGCTGAGCTCTCCCATTGCAATACCACATTAACTCAACTGCTCTGGAACTCTAAACTCAGCACCTCAAACTACATGGCAGTGGTAAGTAGGTAAGTTTAAAATGAAAGCATTTTGTTTCCAATAAAATGTGTGAAGTGACTTTCCTAAGTACATCACATTTAATTCCAACCAGCATTTTTCAACACCATAATGTAAGAACATGCACAGTGGTGGCTACATTTACTTATTTAGCAGTAAAATATCAGAAATGGCCACTCAAGTCACTTATTAAATGCCAACAAGTTCAGTCTAAACACTTCCAATCAACTTTAGGATCTACTTGGGCCAAATATTTAAGTCCTCAAATGCCTCCAACTCAGGCCTTGAAGGAAGACAGGAGAGAATAAACCAACATTATTTCACAAGGTCCTCAGAGTGGCAGCAAGCCAATTAGATTAAACATACCTGAAAATTCAAATTTCATGTTGCTGCAATAAAACCTTCCTGTTTCTACTGTCAACAGAGTGAAGTCATAAGGGACCATGACATTGTGATTATAGACAGGATAAAATGTAATAACTGCATGTGGGGGCAGGAGATGGATCTAACCTGGCTGTGCCCATGGGGATCAATAATCCATCAACCCACAATATCTGTGGGTTTGTCAGTTATGCACATTTTCTCCCCTTCTGAGGAAGAATAAATTAACTTTTCTTCTTGATCAGTATGCTGCAGGAGTCTGACTGGTATTTTAATAGCTCAGAAGTGTACCTGCCTGATCTGACATTAATTACAAATCCACCAAAGCCCTGGTTACTTTATCACCAGGTCAGACCACGAACTCCAGCTCAATACACTTCAAAAATAGACAGGTCGCAACACAGAGGAAAGGACACACTGACTTACCCACTGTAGTGTGTTTTTACTCTGATGAAGTCTTTGTTCAGATCAATTTTTGAGCCCATTCTGCTCGGCATGGTCTGTATTTAGCAGCTATATAAAATTATAAGTATGCAGAAATAAGTTGATTGAAAACAGATTCTGAAGTGAAGAGCTTCACATGTGAAATGTGTCTCTGCTCCAGATGATTCTCAATCCAGCTGCACAGATAAAAAACCAGAACATTGATGAATATACACACACTGCTAAACAAATGAGTTGTGTCAAATTTTAGAAGCACAAATAGCTTTACATAGAACAGCAAAAAAATCAAAAGGAAAATGTGTAAGACCATTGACCTGCACAGAAATAAAATATGATTGGTTAAAAATACCCTGTACAATTTAGCTTTACAGAAATATCCCAAGTATTTGAGGAAGTTTTCTTAATCATTCAACAGCTCCCTCCTGGCTGAAATACTCCACAGAAGTTTTTACTTATTCATCAACCCAGCATCTTACTCTTTCCTCCCAAAGAAACAAGTAACTAAAAATAGTTTTTCTGTAAATAAAACATTGTAGTCAATTACTACCAGCTACAAATTTACCCAAGAGAAGCAGCAGAGGAACTCCGAGGGGCAATTTACCATACCTTTATGACTGGAGCCTGACAAACATCCTGTTTATTCCAAACCACCACCTCACACACCAGTGTGGGTATCCAAACACCTCCCTAACCCCGCTGCCCGGGCAAGCCGGGCCACAGGTCCCGGGGGAGCGGAGACTCCCGAAAGCTTTACTCGACCC